GCGAGAGTTCCTTGAGCGGAGTCTGGAGGTCTCTAGACTTCGTCATTCTGTCCTTTTCTTGGCGGGAGGATTTCAATCTCTTACAGGGTCAGGGAGGGAAGAATATGAAAGAAAATGGAAGATTGGAGGGACAGGTCCAAGTTGGAATTGGGAATTCTGTTATGGCGCCCAGTAGAGCTATTCTCCTCTCTGAATCCCGCGACCCTAAAATGGAAAATTGTGGAGTCAACAAATATACAGATGGGCCTTGCTGGCCAATTTGCATATCAATCAAAGGCTAGTAGTATCATTTCAGCCCAAATCGGCTGACCTCACTGCAAACTATTTCCCACTCAATTCCATTTTGAGCTACAAACAATAGAATATGTTAGGCAACTATATGGGCCTTGGCCCAACAAACAGCCAGACCCATAACAACTTATCCAACTTGCTACTCATATAGTATTGAAAGTTCAGTACCGGAATTTGGTATACACTACTGAAAATACAGTATCGAATTTATCATAGGGCAAAGTGGTGCTGTCGTGTGCAATTGATGGAGAGGTAAACCTTTATTCATTTGTTTTTTTGGTAAATTTTCGAAATTCTATATATGAACCTTAAAATAACTCTGATTTAGCAAGAGCTATAGCTTCGAAAGGGCTTAGTTTGATTGCTAGGGTTTCAGAAGCCCTTCATTAGCGAATATATTGTCAAACTCCTTTTTGCCTTCTCCAATCTTCATCTTCCTGGTTCATTAACCAATTTTGAAGATTCACACGTCTCAACGGTGATTATAAATGGCTTGGGAATGGAAATTCATTTCATTAAAGCAGATGACGAGTTCAGATAACCACATTTGAAGACAGAGAGGATTAGGGCTGTCATTTCGGTTGCCGGTTAGCGGCTAACCAGCCGGTCTAACCGTTAACCGCCGGTTAGCGGCTAACCGGAAACCGAAAATAACACGCATCGGTCTGTGGTCGAAATTGGTTATTGGTGCCGCGGTTAGCTGATAAACCGACGCCGGCTAACCGTCCCTAACCGACCGACCCTACGACGCCGTTTTGCCTACCTGAAAGACGACCCATCCTCAACCCTAGAGACCCTCTCGTCGTCACACAGCCTCCCACTCCCTCTCGTCGCACAGCGTCCACCCTCCCTCAGACCTCTCGAGTCTCGTCGGACAGTCGCCACTCCCACAGCCTGGCCGGTCGCCGCCTCCCTTCAATCGCCCCTCCAAATTCCAATCGCCGCCAGACAACAGTCCGTCATCGCCGATTCGCCGCGCCAGTCAACAGTCCGCCATCGCCACGCCTCCAATCGCCCCTCCAATCGCCGCCAGTCAACAAAACGAGCATGCATGTAGTCGGCGGTGCGCCTCTCTGTTTTCCCCCATCGTTCCAAGTGAAAACGAATGTAAAGGCAAGAGGAAACAAGGTTTTTCTTCGTGCTATTTGTTCGATTTCTGACGGGCTAGAGGAGAGGAGAAGGGTTTCGAACTTCGATTGGGTTCGTCTGTTGGGTAGAAAGAAGAGAGAAGGGCCGAGAAGAGATGGAGAGGGAGACCAAAATTGGGTCTTCCTCTGTTTGTAGTTATCTGAAGTTTGTGAGCGGTGGGTCTCTCTCGATTGTATTTTAGTAGGGAAAGTGCTCTTCTTGCACACAGCGGTTTCTGGTATCGGGGACTGAGGAGAAGAAGAAGAAAGAAGCTCTGTGGGTGGAGAAAAGGGACCAGGAAGCAGAAGAAAAAGAAGAGGTCAAAGGAGGAGAAGATCCCTATGGTTCTTTCGTTTGCAATTTAATCGAACATCAATCTGTCGGTTGCCCCGATTAAACCGCGCCTGAACCTAAACCGCCCGGTCGGTTTGCGGCTAACCGGGGCTCTGAGGTCGGTCGGTGGACGGTAGCTTCTGGGCAGGTCTCGGTTTAACCGAAAACTGAGAATTCGGTTTTCGCTTAAACCGAAACCGACCGGTTGCCAGCCCTAGAGAGGATTGAGTGAAAGGAGAATAATGGGTTCAATGAATAAAAGTGTATCGAGAGACGACTGGTTGAGACTGAGAGATGAGAACATCTTGTTCTAAACGAGAAGTCGAGGGGTATGAGGACTTCAGCAGTCATCATTCGTCGAGCACTGGGCTATTGTGCGGGTTCAAAGCAGATAATAGAATATCCATACCCTACTCGTGTCCGATAACTTTACTTTTGGGCTTCCCCAACTCAAATTCAGTCAAGTCAAGTTTTGCCCTCGTTAGTTAATTATGAGTATTGGTCCAATCCCGTATTATACATTGAACTTGCGGTGTATGAGCAATTGATTATTAGACTGTTGATAAATATAAGTCGGTTAATAAATACTAGTTTTAGTCATTGATTAAGAAAGTATTGACGTGTATTAACTACAACAGCGATTGAAAATCATTTATTCGAAGAATACAAAAGTTGAAGAGTCCAATAAATCATTTTATTTCAAAGTGTTTTTAATACTGATCATCACCATTTTTAATTTACCATACCTAAAAAAAAAAAAAAACTGGATCGTTTTTAAATATCGTACTTCCACAATCCATTGGATCGCCCTCAGTATAAAAAAAAAAAAAAAAAAAATAGATGTGTGAAGATGAACCGAAGAAAACCCACCGATAGTATCTATGAAGGAACCCTAGCTAGTCGGCAGCCAAAAATAGCATTCATTATCTGTGGACTGGTGTGGACGAGGAGTTGCAAGAATGCTTCCAAATATTAACAGACGAATCAACAACGTTCCCCCAAGTTACCAAAAGCTGGACTGTGAAAGAAAAAATGCCGCCGAATGCAAGCACGTAGTTTAATTTCACATGGGTCGTGTGAGCAGCCACTCATCCAGTTATGCAGAGACGTACATATGGACACGGTATTACCGAAGTACGATCCCATTCCAAAATTTGACGAAATCTCAATATTTTGGGACTAATGTTCGTTTAAAGCGTATATGTATATATAACATTGCCCCAACAGGCTCCCTATCTCTCCAGAACAAACCCTTCTTGCCTCCCAAATGCGATCCCTAAACTTACAAATATCACTCTTTCTAACCGAGCCAAAAACTTTATAAAGAGATGGGACATATCTCTAGTTTGTGCGTGGATCGCACCTTTTTGGCGGCGGGGCTTATATCTCGTCCTATCATGGTTAGATTCACGCACAAACTCGCGATCTGTCTCCTCTACCGTCTAGTGGCATTCCTATGTTACAACCTCAGAAGGAAGCGTCTTCGGAATATAAGAAATTGGAGCTGGTATGGATAATCAAAATCATTTCTCGAGAACCAAGACCACCATAAGCCAATAAAATAGCAGGTGAGATCATTTTTAAAAAACTTGAACACCTCTTACTCATGTCTTTGCTATGAATCCCACGACCTGCCATGACCTTGTTTCTCGTCGCCATGTTTGCTCAAGTTAGGGTAAAAGTTCAACATCTTATTATATAGAACAAGTTGTAGTACGAAACAAGTTGCATCTATCACTCTTGGATTGTCCTCCTTTCTATCTTCTCTTACATCAATAAAATACTACGTAGCACAAACTCGTGATCTGTCTCCTCTCCTCTACCATCTTCTAGTGGCATTCCTTTGTTACAGCCTCACTAAGAAGCCTTTGGAGCATAAGAAATTGGAGTTGGTATGGATAATTGAATCATTTCTCGAGAACCTAGATCACCATTAGCCAATAAAATAGCAGGAGAGATCATTTAAAAAAAAAATTAAACACCTCTACTCATGTATTTGCTATGAATCCCACGACCTGCCATGACCTTGTTTCTCGTCGCCATGTTTGCTCAAGTTAGGGTAGACGTTCAACATCTTATTATTCAGAACAAACCGTAGTACGAAACAAGTTGATCTATCATTCTTGGATTTTCTTCCTTTCTATCTTGTCTTACATCAATAAAATACTGCGTTTTAGAGGTTAACATTTGTCTAGTTTGCGTATAGTGTGGTCAGCATGATTATTTTAGGTCAACCTTTATGGAAATGCATTGCTACAGTTGGTTGTATGACCACTAACTCGTTTTAGGTAGTCTTACTAGTGTTTTCCAATCACATGTTTCCCAGATTTTTCAAATTATAAATGTTGACGAAGCTGAAAGTCTCTGATTTCGAATCGATTAAGAAACATCTAATTAAAAATAACTTATATCCATCAAATTCTATGATTTTACAATAAGTTTATTATGATTCCATTAAAAAAAAACTTATATCCATCAAATTCTTCCATTACCCAAACCTCCTCTTTTTTGTAGTGATCATTCAGATAGATGGGGTAAGTTAAAGAGAAGTTCACAATCTATAGACCTTCTACTTTCATGTGACATTGTTCCGTCAGACTTTCACCCCTACGGAAAAAAATTCCACGGATATTTTGCATATACAGATAAATCGATCAATATAACTTATCACCAGTTCACCACCGATTTGTTCACCAGGAATGTTCCTGACCCTTCATTCATACTAGAAGATTCAGCCAAATCGTGTTTGTACTCTTTTTGTTGATATCTGATTGTTGTCGCTAGCAATAAAGTGGGACCAAAGGCCACCGCCTCCCTTTTTTAGTTTAATGAAAACTTGATTCATTATTTTGTGGAGGCAGCCGCTCTCTCTTTTCATGAACTTTGTCGTGAACCTTTTTATCGTCATATAAAATTAGCCAAAATCTGGCATAGCTATTCACGTGTTGAATGATACATATCTTTTTGTTTTCTAATCCGCGCTAAACAACAATCTCGATCGTCACCTACCTTCCCCCTCTCCTCTCACTGCACTTTCTCTCTTTGTGTGGTTTGAACTTTGAAGAACCCATGAGAGAGAAAATTCAGAATCATTCCCAGAAATTTGCGAGCACCAATTTGAACGTTTTTTTTTTCTCTTTCCATTTCTTAATGTTATTCTTCGATTCGAAGAAACTACACAACAAAAATGAAGGAGCGACTCACAAACAAACAATGGCATCGAAACCCAAAACAAAAAAAACAAAAAATTACCAGTGGGGGGAGGAGGAATTGACATTCAGAATCCTAAGCAGATCCTCATACGAAACGGCGTCGTTCTCCTCTCCCCCGCCGGCGAGCCTGATCATCGCCCTGATGTCGTCGTCGCTGGCTTCAAACCCAGCGGAGTGCATGTAACTCTTCAAATCGCCGTGGCTCAACTTCCCGTCCCCGTCCTTGTCCATCGCCTTGAACACCTCCGCCATCACTCCCCCGGCGGATGGCGAATTCTTGTCCTTGCAATCATTCCCTCCGACGACCCGCTCGAATTCCTCGAACTCCACGAACCCGTCCTTGTTGGAATCGGCCAGGGATATCATCGTCCCTATGATCGTGTCCTCCTCCTCGCCGGCGTTCGAGAATCCGGCGTAGAACCGGCGGAGGTCGTCGCTGCCGATCTTGCCGTCCCGGTCGGCGTCCAGAACGTCGAACGCTGATTTCAATTCCGTCGTCGCCGCCACGAGAGTCCTGCCTGACGGGCACATTTTTTATTTTTTTCTGTTTCTCTCAGGTGATCGGATTGATGTTTTCCGGTGAAGGGAGAGAGAGAAAGGTCGGGAAATTAGAGATGTAGAGAGAGAGAGAAACGGATTTTTTGGGTCCGTTCCGCGAGGAAACGGGGTGGAGAGATTTTTCTCTTTTCTAGTTGGAAAATGGAGACGGGAGGTTTGCTTAAATAGAGCTGGCGGTGGCGCGAGGGTGGGGTCCAGCTAGGAGCGAGATTCGTGGCTTTCCTTGTTCGAGGAAACGAAGAGGAGTGGGGAAAATTCGACGCCACGTGGGGTGTTGTTATAGGGTGGGTACGTATGTAATGACGATGGTCGCCGGTCGGATCGCGACTGTGTTATTGTTTCTTGTGTTGGAAGATTGTTGGGAGTAGGGGTGGGCAAAACGTTCGGTAAACTCGATCCGAAATCGAAACTGAATTAATCCGAACCGAAATCGAAATAATGTTATTCGGTTCGGAATTCAGAAGGAAAATATGGATATTTCGGAAATCAAGGTTCTTTCAACCTAACCGAAATTTCGAATGTCTCACCGGAAAACCGAAATACTATAATCGCAACCTTCAAATGGTGGATTTTTATGTTTGTAGTTGTTTTTATACTTAAATATTTGAAATATTTTATGACTTATGTGTTGAAATGTTTGATTTTATCATTGATGATTCATATAATTGCATATTTATTGATTATATTAGGGGTGAAAAATAATTTAAAAGTGAGAAGATACAAGTAGCCTCATAAATTCGGTTTTGTGTTAAAAACCAAACCCAACCGAATTATAATTCGGTTTGAAGTTTGGGAGAATTCGGGGACCCGGTATTCATAATTTCGGTTCGGTGACCGAATACCCACCCCTAGCTGGGAGCGATTTATTCCATGCTGGCGCCTGGCGGGGTGGCCCATCCCAAGCCTGGACTCCCCCAAGTAATTGGAGGATGAACAATGTTGTCAAACCGGTTTAGCAAGTGAAATGATTCGGCTAGTGATACTTAAATATAATGTGACATTCCTAATAAAATTACCAATACACATATTTAAATGCAATATTTATTGTCGATACCTAAACTTTTAAATTTGAATCCAACAAATAACGTTAACGTTTAACTTTATAACTCATAAAATAAATGATAAATCAATTATTTATTAATTAAATTTACTAAAACGACGTCATTTTGCTTAGAGATCCTAAATCGATCATTACCTGTCATACCGATGGTATGAACATCGGTTTCATTATCGATACCAGTTGAGCGATGGCATACCTTCATGCCGTCGCTACCGGAGTGACAACTAGGGGATGACCCTAATTTTTTAAAATTTCAACGCTATGGAATTTGGAATATTAAACGGTTAAAATAGACTAGAAGTCATTACCAAATTTACTGTATATGCTGACTACTTATGACTGTTATTGAATTATGTATTTATAGGTTTGAGTTGTTTTGTTTTGGTATTCATTATTCAACAATGTGTGATTGATTATTATAAATTGGGTGCAGTTTACGGAGAAAGTGAACTTTTGCGAACACAACGAAGAGGAACGTTGGCACAAATTCATTGTATTATTGTGTGGTAAATGAAGAAATTGCATATACATTGAGGAAGTTATTAAGGAAAAACGACAGCACGTAGCAGTTTTGAAGTCAATATTCGTTTCCAAATTAAGATAGTTAAGTCAATAATTTTCTATGTAAACAATATTCGGTGCATTGGAAATTTGGAATATTCCACTCTTGGATATCAACTAGGGGTGGGAAACAATCCGGTTTGGTTTAAACCGGACCGGATTAACCCGGTTTTTTAGAACCGTTTTGACAAATACCACAACCGGAGACGGGATTTGGATGACACCCGGTTTCAACCGTGACCGGATTGGATTCAATCCGGTTTTAAACCGAAAACTGGGGTGACATTAATCCCCTCCTAAACGTTGTCGTTTGAGAAAAAATTGGGAGAAAAAAATAAAATTAATGTAAATGAAAATGAGAAGAGTGACTCAGATCTATGCTTTCCTCCACTTTTCTACCGTCCCTAACTCCCTATCTTTCACAATCTTTCTCTCTATTTAGTAAATCAAAGAATTTTACTCTCATCTTCTTTCTTGATCTTTCTTCCAACTACCTTATCTCCTCCCTGGAATCCCTCCCCTGTTGCATGCAAACCAACATTCAGCTATCAGAAGAAAGAAGTCGGCTACAACCTTTGTTTCTGCCTTTTGGTCGATCCCCGAATTGGAGAACGCAGAGTCGCTAATCCAACTCTGCAGTGGCGGAGATCGTCACCGTCGTCGTTGATGTCGCGCGTCGGGGATTCAGAGAGCTCTTTGCCTCCTTCGTCGTCGTCGCGTGTAGGGGACCAGAGCTCCTTGCCTCTTTCGTTGCCGTCGCAGGCTCTGTCAAAGAGGTCGATGAACTTCGGCGGCGTCGGCGCCTAGTGTTACGCAGAGGAAAATGGGACTGATTAAGGAGATTGGGAAGGGATTATGGTAGTTGGAGATGATTAGGGAGATTGAAGGGAAGGATTAATCATTGGAGTTGGAGGGGATTGAGGGAGGCAGAGTGATAGCGGCTGCAACTGCAAAATTAGGGTAGGGTTAATGTGGCTAGTGGGGATGGGGTACCAGCTGTATATTAGGGTTGGGCTGAGATTGGTTGCGGGCTGGGGTCGTTGGCGGGCTTGGGGTAGTGGGCTTTAGTAGTATTAGGCAGGCTGGGCTGGTTAGGATTAATTTCTTTTTTACAATCCGGTTTTCCCGGTTTTAACCGGATTGGACCGGCCCTACTGAGACTAAAACTGTAAACTGGATTGGGTAATGGGTATCCGGTTTTCGGTTACAACCGGAACGGTTTTAACTGCCCGGTTTCCGGTTTGATCGGAAAACCGGGACTGGATTCCCAGCCCTAATATCAACCATACAGACAGTCTCTTGCTCTTCGTGAGGTCCAATTTTCTTGTTCCCCAAGGAGTGGTGGGCCTTGTTCTTTCTGTGGGTCGATGGGCACTCTCTAGTTCTTTATAGAATCTAAGAGTTCATTTGGAGGTTGAGATTCTTCAAATATGTGTATTCGATGAATAAATCTAGTTGATTGAAAGAATGTCTTGTTTGTTTGTAGCAATCCAAAAAATTTGAAAAAATGAAAAAATCACTTTATCATTGGATACAATTCAGGAAGAAATGGAAATAAAAGTCTATTTCCATTTCCTATTTTTATAGAATTCATTTTCAATTTTAGTGTTTGGTATAATTCCTACAACTATAGAAATGAATTGCACTTTTAACAATAATTAATAATGTAATATATTTGTTTTATCTTGGAAAATGGAATATGAATGATAGAGAAAGAGAGTAGGCTGATAGCTGATTAATAAAATAATAATAAATAGTGATGAGACCCATTAATTCCATCTTCATAAACCCAATTCTTATAACTTTTGATAGAAATTGTAATCCCCAAAATTTAGCCAAATGAAATTCATTTCTCAACCTTCTTATCCTTTCAAACATAAAATATGGAACTGGAATTGAAAATAGAATTCCAATTCCTGAGTTTTTTGTCTATCCAAACAGGTTGTATAAATTAAAAGTGGAACAAATTAAACCTCACAATCTCAAAAGAAGAATCTCACATTTTTGTTGAGATTTAAAATGAGTGAATGTGAGTGATAGGAGATTTGAAGGTCCACCTCACATCCATGTATTTAATAAAATTTTAGGATAAAAAAATGAAGGCTTCTCCAAAATAAATAAATTCAAAGAATAATTTATCTAGAATCGTAACTTTCAAACTAGAAGCATCTCAATCTTTGAAAACAGCGGGGCGGGCACGTCAATTTTTTTTTTGTTTTTTTTGGGTAAATGACACATTTGGTCACTGAGATTATTAAATTGTGTCATGTTTAGTCACTAGAAAAAATTAATATCAATTTTGGTCACTCGAATTACCGAAACTGGTCAAATTTAGTCACTCTCCCGTCAGTTTCCGTCCAACTCCATTAATGTAGTTGGACGGAAACTTTTGGGAGAGTGACTAAATGTGACATGTTTCAGTAATCCGAGTGATTAAATGTGACATTTTTCAATAATTCGAGTGACCGGAGTTGGACAGAGGCTACAGAAGAGTGACCAAATGTGACCTGTTTCAGTAATTCGAGTGACCAAAATTGATATTAAATTTTTCTAGTGACTAAATATGACACGATTTAGTAATCTCAGTGACCAAATATGTCATTTACCTTTTTTTTGGGCATTGCTATTCGTCGCCCTAAAATTTAAATTTTTTCGCCCTAAATCATAATACATTGACATTTGTACCCCTATTTCCAATTTCAATCTCTAACCCCTAAACCAGTGGAATTCAAACATCCAACGATAACCAAGAATCGGTGGTGAGAGGGTCAGAAAAAGAGGCCGGAAATTCGATCGGTCTCAATTTCTGTCACGAGATCGGAGAAGGAACTGTGGTTTTAACCGCGAGAAATGAATTGGGGGTTTTCCCCGAAGCATGGAACTGTTTGAACTGCTTCAATTTAGTGGATTCAGTACCTGGTTGTTGGAATGGGTTTGATTTTCTTCTTGGTTCCTCTTGTCTTTAGTTATTGCAGCACCAGCATAGTGAATTAATAGAAAATCTCAGAATTGTGTCTCTGTCAATGCTTGTTTGTAGGATCGGGTGTTGAAAAGGATTTTGCAGCACCAGCACATTAAAGTAAATTTAATATAATTAGGGATTAATGTTAAAACAATGATCACAGTACCTTCCCGCCGACGTTCGAGTAGCAGCAGCGACAGCAAATTGGGTTTGGGGCAGGGGCAGAGGAGGGGAGGGGACGATTCTTTTTCCGGTGAGGGCGGCAGACGTGGGTTGGGAAAGGGATTATTTGGTTAGAGCTAGAATTGAGATTGGGTTGAGGGTAAATATGTCAATTTGTTTCGTTTTAGGGCGATAAAATTTGAATTTTAAGGCGACGAATAGCAATTC